TATCATAGAAACTTACAGCGCAGAAGGAGGTTATTCAGCCCATCGAGTCTATACCATCACTTAGAGTAAGTTTTTCATTAAATCCCATGGACCCTCCCTATCCCCAAAACTCTTCAAGCTTCTAATTTCCATTTGCCTCTCTACTTCCCTCTTGAAACTCATAATAAACTCTGCCTCTACGATTTACTTGGCAGGGTGTTCCACATCCCAGTTCTCTGTGTGAAAAAAAATCTCCTAAATTCTCCTTTCACTCTTCTTGTGACTATCATATTGATATCCTTTAGTTACTGACTCCCCTACCCATGGAAATAGCTTCTCCCTGTTTAACCTGGCAATAATCTTGTATACCCCTATCAGGTTCCCTCTCAAATTTCTCCCAATTCCTCCCTATGAGAAACAGAGGGCAGCCATGGAAAATATTTTCTCTGAGACTAAAAGAAAATTATTTCATAACTTTATTTTATCTTTTCTCTGAGACTAAAAGATAATTATTTCATAATACTCAGCAGGTCAGGCAGCATCTACAGAGAGAGGAAAGTGAGTTAACGTTTCAGGTCGATGAATTCTGTTTTTATTTCAGATGTATTTCAGGCAAACATAAGATTAAAAGACCACAGGATCAATGTCTTTAAAACACTAAGAGTTAGCTTTAAGAATGCAATCCGACATAGACCAGGAGAGCAGAACGGAGGATATGATAGTTTCAAATGAAAAAGCCTCAAATGAGATAAGATCAATAGTAACATCAATGTGATTCCTGGGTTTAAATTGGGAATGCTGCATAAATTGTTATCTGTAGCCAGAATCTAAATGTGCAAGGCTGCCATGCAGTTTGCCATGATGTAGTTTGTCAGGTGCCAGAAATACAGACTGTCCTGACGTAAATTACATAACATAAATTACTGTGATCATTAGAAATGAAATGTTGGTGTTTTCTCAGCTCAAATGTGTTTTTTGCAACCCGTCAATTGCTTTAAGAGTCAGCAGAGTAAATCTGAACGTGCTTGGCATGGAAGAATGAATGTGGATCCCTGGAAATAGAGTCTTAGCAAAAAAGGGAGACTTTTTTTAACAATCACTTTAAATCACCTGAACACTTGGTTACTAAAAATCTTTTGAGTCCATTGTTTGTCGACAAAACTACTGTTCTACTTGTACCAAGTTTAATAATTGCACAATAATAATATCCGTCATATTTGCTATAGATTTTTATCATGTCAATAAAATGTTTCAAAGAGCTTTATAGGAATTCTTGTGAAGTGCAGTGACTGTGTATTTGTCGGCAACTGTGGCAGCCAATTTACACACCAATTTCCCACAAATAACGTCCACTTGAACATGACTTCAGTTTAAGGCCTCATTGACACAGGTGGATGGCAGTGCTCTCCCAACTTTGCACTGGAGTGTCAGAATGAGTTTTGAGCACAGAGTTACAATGTGGAGCTTAAACCCACAACCTTTGACTCAAAGGTTAGAGTGCTACCAACTGAGTCAAGTTGACACCTCGTAGCCATTACTCTTGTTTTAGTTTTCTTTATTGAATATCAGTGGACGATTTGCCCATGGGAAGAATGAAAGGATTACAGTTGACCTCCGACCGAAAAAAAATCCTTTCATTTGGTATAGTGCCTTTCACATCCTGAAGCGCTTCACAGGATATACTGTAAAGCAGTGGTGGATCACCTTGATGGTCAGCCAACAAAATAAATTATGGCATAAATCAAGAAATATTCAATCAAGAAAGCCTGAAAACACAATACTGCTCAAACCCAGAATTACCTAGACTAGTGCGAATGTTCAAGGGGTGGGGGACACTTCTTGAAGGCCCTGCAAATCACTTCAGCCCACGGGCTACAGGTTGCCCACCACTGTCTAAAGGGTAGTGACTGTGTGTTTTGAGGACAAATGCAACTGCCAATTTATGCACAGCAATGTTCAACAAACAACCCACATAACGCAGTCTCCACATGCGCACAGTTCCAGAAGTGGTCATCCTGTCATCTTATTTCTGCTACTTAATCTGCTCCCTGAAGACCATGTTTAAACCCCTAATGCCATCTCACCTGAGAACATCTCACCTACAGAACATTACAGTGTAGAAACAGGCCATTCAGCCTATCAAGGCCACACTGGCATTTTCCTCCCCTTCAGACATTTAATCTAATCCCAGTTTTATGATCATTCATGATTCCCTTAATTTTCTTTCTATTCAAAAATATTATTTAATTCTCTTTTGAAATAATTTGTGGACTGTGCTTTAATTGCACTTTATCACAGAAACCTACCTTCCAACCATCATCTGCATAAGCTCAATTTTCCAACCTCCCTTAATAATATAATAAATGCAATATAGTAATAATAATTCCCTTAAATTCTTTTTGTGATTATTGCAAATCATACCCACTTGTTTTAGGCTCAGCGATCAGTGAAAATCATCTCATACAATTTACTCTATCATAACCTTTCCTTATCTTAAAGACCTTTATTCAGTCACCTCCTTAATCTTCTCTAGTGAATAAAATCTTCAAACTCTCAACTTCTCTACTCAATGAATAAACTTCCAAGAAATCAGGGCTGGAAGACAAAGCGAGAGACACAATCTTTGTGCAGGGAGAAAGAGTTGTGTTGTCATCATTAGAACCATAGAAATTTAAGGACAGAAGCAGGCCATTCAACCCATCGTATCTGTGCTGTCAATGTGACATTATGCAGAGTGAAGCAATGAGGTTTTTAGATGTCACATTGTATCCCTCCAAACCAAGAGTAAATGGCTTTGCCACGATGTTGTTTGTATAAAAAAAGTAACCCCTTTGAAAAAAGCAGTGTGAAGAGAGGCAGATTTTAACATCATGTATCACAGCTTGAGCTCTGCAAGCGAGTGGGCATGAGCTGTAGCATTGAGTTGCTGACTGAATAATTCCTGATATTTTGGTCTGCACTCTTCCAATGAAAGAAATTAACTAATTGCTTGTGAGCCAGTAAAGCGAAGGCTGTGGGTTGAAGCCCCATGTCGGGACTTCGAGTTCATAGTCTGGGCTGACTCCAAATCAATGCTAGGGGCCCACTGCATTGTCGGAGAAGCCATCCTTCCAATGAGAGATTACACTGGCTGCAAAATTAAACCATTAACCTGTCTATTTGTTCAGGGGGAAATTAAAGATCCCAGAGACCTATTCAAAAAGTGAAGGAAGTTTCTCCTGTTAGCGCTTTCAGCGCTTTGGGACGTCCTCCCGACATGAAAGACACTCTATAAATGTAATTTTGTTATTGTTGTTGTTATCCTCGCCAATAATCCCCCCCCCAAAATTGTTCATTCACTGTTTGTGGGACATTGCTGTGTGCAAATTGGCTCCCGCGTTTGCCTACAAAATACAGTCACTGCACTTTACATAATATGTTTAAAGCACTTAGAGATGTCTTCCTGAAGTGAAGGGCAATATATCAAATGCAAAGATTAGTATATTATAATGTTATAACATTTATTTATTATTACATAATAATATTAAAAGTTTATTATTATTATAAATGGGTTTCCTTTGAACAGTACCTGTTGCTTTAAAGATAGGTAAGTCTGTGAATAAATGAGCGGCTGTGATATTTGCAGTAAATAAGCAACACGCTAGGGTTCAATCAAAAATTATGTGAAGCAGAAGATGGGAGAATCTGGACTAAACAAGTTGGATTCATGTTCTGATGGGTAAACTTTTAAGTGAGGCTTGAAAGGATTTAGACCAAAGCTGCTGTCATTTGTCTTTGCATCACTGAATCTATCATTGAATATAGAATATATATAGATCAGCAAATCGATAATTTCAAATAACTTGTGTTTTCAATCTTTGAAAATGTTAATGTTGTTTATACTCCAGTCACTTCGATAAAATAAATAATAATATAATAATAGTAAAGAATAAAGTCTGCCGACATGTTCAGTAATACCATAGTACTGTAAGAGCAATTTCAACTGTTGTGAAGTTAGAACAGTGACAGCAACATGCATGTATCTATATTGCTCGGCAGACTTCAGGATGACAGGAATATAAGAACATAAGAGAGGCATTCTCAGAGAACAAGGGAAATATGGATGAAGAAGTCCTTTCGGCCATTTGATCTCATCCTTCCAGAATATCCATTCTTCCTTCTTCAAATCAAAGCATCCAGCTGTTACTTAAATATATCCACTGTCTGCCTTCTACCACCTGTCTTGTAGAGGCCAGACAATGGGTAACCTGTTCTAGTTGTTGATCATCCTCTGCCTAAAGAGGTATTCCCTCATGTCAGTGCTAAAATTGCTCCTCGTAACCCTGAATCTCTACCTTCCTCCCTATCTGTCCTCGGTGTATCAGAAAGTCATGCAACTTGAAAAATCCATCCAAATGTCAAGCTCATAGCTTCACAGACCATGTACAATTTGTTGTATTGTACATTCCCCCCACCCAATTAATCTTCCGAGGAAAGAATGAGCAGAGTTTCTCTTCGTTCCTAATTCCACAATAAGCTCTTCTGTGAACTTTTTGCAACATGTCAATGTAATTTGCCCAGGATGGCACACATGGGGATAATTTGCATGACCTGTAAAAGTATTCACAAATAGTAAATTCTTTGCGTACAAGGAGGCATCCCTACTGACTCTCTGGAGCACAAACATCTCAAGCTTGTCTTTGCATTTCTACTTTTATCTTCTGTCTCTTTCAGTCACCTTTCAGCTCCATTCCCGTCCCCTTCTCAGCTGCCCCCAGCAATGGCCTCACACTTAGTCACATGAAGCCCTTTGAGACATCCTCCCGATGTGAAAGGCATTATATAAACATTGAAATGTAGGTGCACAAGGAGGCTATTCGGCCCATTGAGAGTCTTCACCAGCGCACAGGGCAAGGCTATCATTATATACTGTAAATTGTTAGTTGTTGTTGCTTTTGTTATTTTGGAAGGCAGGAGCACCTTTGGGTTTAAAAAAGTGCGATTGTGTTTGACTCAGTTAAAACCTAAAAGAAAAAATTGGATTCCTGTAGCTCAGTGGTTAGAGCACTTGCCTAGCAAGCAAGAGATCTTGGTTCGATTCCTGGCAGGACGAAACTCTGGGAAAGTTTCCTTACTCCACATGCCTCGGTTTACCTAGCGGTAAGTAGGAACCCAGTTGTTAGTTGATTGGCGGATCACTTTTCTGGGGGTAATAATTCCTTCAAAAAAAATTGGTCACTTCAATCCACAACTGCTTGTGGGACACTGCTGTGCGCAATTGACTGCCGTGTTTGGACCACAAAAATATACAGTCAATTCACTTCACAGTATATTCTGTGATGCGCTTTGAGACATCTCGAAGACGTGATAAGGTGCTATATCAAATGCAAGGATTATTATTATTATGAGTAGTTTGATAGAACCATATTATACCATTGACCAGATCAAAGTCTGATTGATTGGGTGCTTACCAGCAGACTCTGAGTTGTGCCAGTGATCTTTACTCCAAGGGTTACCACCTTATCACAGAGGTTTAACCCAGTGCTGAATATCTAACGGCAGTGGATTAAAAACATCAATTAAGTGATTTACTTGGGATGAGGAGAAACTAATTAACATCGGACACATTGAAAATTCCCAACGTGCTGTAATTTACTGCCGTTGTAAATTGCGCTTGGATGAGCCTTAATCTCTGCAAACGAGCTAAAGTCAGTGCAATTGAAGTATTTTTTGATAACTGCCTGAAAGTGTCAGCCACAATGAGCATGCTGAGATGTGAGGCCACATCCTGCACTGATATGGATGAGCTGCCCACACATCAGTGAACACTGCAGGAGGCTGATCAAAACCTTTTTTTGCAACTTATTTTGGATGTTAATGCAACATTTAAGAGTGTGGGTGTATTTGTTTAAAGGGCAGGGAATGAATTTATCATTGTAAGTGGAATAAATGAGGCCAATCTCCACATGAGAGCAAGACACGAAAGTGGGGAAATGAATTGCCCCCTCCCCCTCACATGACTCTTTTTCCTCAGTTGCATTATAAGGGAAGCAAAATGAGGAGAATCACAGAAGTTCCACCATCCACACCAGGGCCTAAGTCATGGAGCAGGCTGCCAGGCCTCTCTTGTTCCTGGGGATTTTTTGTGTGTTTCGAATCGACCCCCAAAAAACGCATCAAATAATCCTGAAATTAATCGGAATTGTTCCTCGATGTACACTTTTAGCCAAACCATTGATTTTTTTTCCCAAGTACTGCTGTATTTTCACAGGGACACATCTTGCAACTAGGTCAGGCACAAAGAGTGCATTTTAACCAGTCGTGAGTGAAGGTCCATTAAAGCCTTGACAGAAATCACAACCAGCATGTAAACCGAGCATTCTGTCAAAATATATACTGTAAGAAAGCTCAATGCTGTGAAGATTTTCACTTCAGTAGGTGTTATTAATGAAAGTAATACTTGCTTGTGATGTGGCTTATCATGCTGATATCTTTCAAAGCATTTCACACAGTGAGTTACTTGAAATGCAGTGACTGTTGACGTGTCAGTCAATTTTTCTCCTTCAGCTTCCCACAAAGAGTGTTGGGAGAGATGGCTATATCATGTTTATTCAGTGGTAAATTTTGATGGTGGAGGGATATTGACCAAGACACCAGGAGAATCCCCTATTCTATTTTACAACGGTGTCATGGGATCTTTAGCATTCACTGGAATCAATAGATAAGGCAGACACAATCTCAGTTGGCTACCACATCCATAGAGTCATACTATTAGCAGTACAGCACTCCCTCAGTCCTGCAGCAGATTGAGAGCCTGTAATTTTAAAACACCTTACATTTACATAACACCTTTCACGTCCAAACAACATCTAAAAGTGCTGACTGGAAGCTCAAGACTGAATGCTCAAGGGTTGGGGTGAGCTGAAGGAGAGGGAGAGGATGGTGGAGGGTATAGATAATTATATATTGCAAAAAATGTACTTAAATACTACAACTTCAAAAAACCTTTAATCGACTGCTCTGGAGGCAAGAGTGCTAATAAACGAGTTAAATGTTAGTACGATAGAGAATTGTTCCTTCTCGCTTCAGGATTTAAAATAAAAATTCTGGTCATACCGTGAGGAACGTTGATATTTCCCAACAGACATATCATCAGTCAGCAATGTCGCTGTCCAGCGATGTTATGTAAATAGTAGGGGCAAGGTCTGCCCATTGTTCATGAGTGTCCAAGGGATTAGGCACGCGACACAACAGTCAGCAGCAGACGATGTCATGAATCTCCAATGACATTATGAACACTATTTAGCTGGATTCAAATAATCCATGAAGCTGGTGCTATCAAACCCTTTGCTGCCCTGGAGTGGCGCATCTTGTCATGTCATCAGTTCTTTCATGAGTAAATCTTTTGTTTAATAGTCTTGTTTCTCTATTAAATTAATGTTATTTACCCAAGCCTTTGTGGAGTGGTATCTCAATTTTTTAATCATTATCTCTGACGTTTCCGCAAGTGATTTTGAAATTTAATTTTAAATATTTCTTTGCTACAATAGGCACAACAATTCTAGTTAGTCTCAGGCTGTAAAGCCACTCCATCTTATGATTTAATATCTCACACTAATGTTGGGATATAGGGATTCCCCTATAATCGTTTAGAATAGAACAAGATTTTTATATCCATTCTTTTATTATATGTTTAATTAATTGTATTAACATCTTGCTCTATTCTAAATGATTATAGGGGAATCCCTATATCCCAACACTAAGTTGGAAAATTCTTAAATTTTGTCGTAATGCAGAAATCAGCTTTCCACATTTCTTAAAGATTTCCTATGTGACCTGTGCATGCTTACACTCAACTCCAGACCTCTGTGTCGAGTTGCACTTATGCATATTTCCAAACCAGTTAAGTCAACAGATGCATCAGTTCGTCATGCAACACCGTTTATACAAGTGTGAGATCTGGTGCTGTGTCAAAGAACACATAGCTCACAATAGCAATCATTTGCCATCTGAATTTTTCTGCATGTTTTTATTCCTTCTCCTTGAATGTACAGCATAGAGGCCAATGCATAACGAATATTCAATAGGTAGAACAGGTTACTGGCAAGCATGGTTGAAGCCAGGATGATGGACTTGTGATGTTATAATGGGAGGATTTCAGGGTGGGTATTCTGAAATGACAAGATGAACTGGGTCTAAGGGCTTTCTTCATCTATTTCTCTCCTGTTCCTCTCCTGAGATGGTATGGTTTGGAGATGAAATTCCCTCCGAATATCGTTTTGTCATTGTGAGGAAGTGATTGCTATTTGCTCACACTTCCCTACAGAGACTGAGACACAGGTGAGATCAGAAAGCTTGTATCACACCGCACTGCCCACTTGTTCTCAAATCACGCTCTGTTACCCAAGCATTGTTGGATAAAGCATACCTGGAACAAAGTGAGCAGTTTGCCTTCAGTATGAAAAATGTACCTTTCTACCTGCCATGAAGATCAGCTTGACAAAACATCTAAACTCTGTGAGTTGTCCCCTGTGCACTTTGTTGCTATGCCACCTAACAGAACAAACGTGCTAAAATGATCTGAGATGTGAAATTCAGTGCAAGCAGACAGCACTAGTGGCACTTCACTGCGTATCTTTGATACTGGTGATCCAGGAGATGCTCAGCAGAAACCTGTAACCGCAGGCAGTTCATTCATTCAATTGGTTCCCATACAGAACATTAGGCAATAATTCCACCCTTGAACCTTTATGCTTCAGTGACAGGTCAGAGTCGCTGCAAGCAATTTAGTTTGGGTACTATGCAAAACTGATCTTATAGTGAAAAGGGAAACTGACCTTTGGATTGGACAGTAGAGCATAAGAACAACTGTGGTTCCTGTTTGTGTTCATTTTCCCTTTATGTACACTCAGAAGAACAATTGCTGCCCACCTGAATGCTTCATTACAGCCTTCTGACACTTCTAGTGAAGTAAATTAAACCAGGAGTAATGTGGTGCTCTCAGTCTAAACATGCTCGAAGAATATTAAAGCAGCATTCCATCACCCAGAGTTTTATTTGCAGAAATCTTTGATGAACATTTTTAGAAAGGCCTCTTTTTAGCTAGTCCTGAATCATAAACATATTGATTTTCAGCCCAAGCCCATTTTTTCGATGTGGCATCCAGGTCCTAGTCAATGTGTTAAACTTATAATAATAGTCCTTGCATTTGATACAGTGCCTTATCACGTCATCGACATGTCTCAAAGTATGTTACATGACTTTACCGTGAAATGGAGTGACTGTGTATTTTTAGGTACACACAGCCAATTTGCACGCAGCAATGTCCCACAAATAGCCAGGAAATGAATAACCAATACTCATCTTGTTAAGATTGCTAAAGTGGCATCCTATATTAACTGGCACATAGGTGTTAACAAATGAATGAATTAATTAATTAACACATCACAACACTGCAAAATTGACACAAATACGTAATAATTGTGGCATGATGAGTGGTATCTGGAAAGTTAGAATATTTTTCATTGATAATCAAAGACGATCAAAATGTGACCTAGCATTTAATTCTTTTGCTTGCCAGCACTTTCACCTTGTAAGAGTAGGGGATTATGTGGAGTGTAAGCACTGACACAAATTAGTTGGGTCAAATTGCCTGTTTCTATGCCATATCACTCTGTGTAACAATGACTGCTCACTGAGTGTGCCCAAACCTCTTCTTTTCCAATTCTGTTACAGGATTACCCTTCTTCATCTACACATATTTCCTGTTTCCTGATCCAATATGCATTACCTTGCATTTATCTGATCAATCTGTTTCTCCCATCTGTTAAATTACTTAAGATCTTTTTGAATGTGGTTTCTTTTATTTTTTTTAGTTATGTGGCTGCATATCTTTGGCAAATGTTCCAATGTTACCAAGAGGACGCTCCTCTATATCCTTTATGAATAACGCAAACACGAGGGGACCAGGAGCCAAACCCCAGTTGAACGCTTCTAGTCACTGCCGCCAGGCAAGAACTTATTCCATTTGCCATCTTTAATGGTTCCCTTTGCTAAAACAGTTTTCAATCTAGCTTGTTAATTTGCCATTAATTTCACAAGTTTTTAAACCATCC